ACTTTTTTAAAAGTACCCTTATATATAAAATTATATATAAAAGTATATAAAGGTATATAAAATAACTCCACTAATAAAATAGCTAAAAATATAAAAAAATCAGATTTAAATAGCCTTTTAGATAAAGAATCTAGAAATAATATCTTTAATTTTATTAGATATTTCTAAGTAAAGTAAATTTAAGTTTTAAAAATACAGCTTAAAATACCCCTATAAATACCCCTGCTATTTAATATAATTAATCGCTATACTTTGCGCCACAAATTAAAAAAATCAATAAAGATTATTTTAAGTTATTTAAATAAATTTAATTTAAAGAATTAAAGAATTAACTTTTTCCGATTTTTTTTTGATTCTTTAACTAGGGTATAAAAAATAGCGTTAAAACTTTATTTCTTAACTTTTTAACCCTTAATTATTTAATTAAATAAAAATCGGAAAAATAGTGGGGCATTAAAAAAGTAATTATAATATATAAAATTATATATATAATATTTTTCCCGATTTTTAAAACTTAAAATCTAAAAGATATATTAAATTTAATAAATTTATAAAAGTATTTTTAACCTTTAATTTTAAACCTATATTTGCCCTACTTAAAAAAATCCAGTAAAATTAAAAATATTATCTCTGGATTCCTTATTTAAAGGGTTATTTAAATCTGATTTTTTTATACTTTTAAGGCTTAAATTAATGGAGATATTCTTTACCCCTTAAGTACTGCTTTATATAAATTTATATAGCATGGTACTTTAGTAAAAGTGTCCAACTTGCTTAGGTGTTCGACTTGCTTATAAATCACGTTAATATATTATTTTTAATTGTTTAATACTTTAAATAAAAACTATTATATTGTTATATTATAGTTTTTTATAAAGATAAATAGTTATAATAAAATAATTAAACTTATATAAATAGTTTATTATTAAGTATTTTATAAATAAGTTTTATTGTTTTAAATTAAAATAAAAATTTTATTTAAACTATATTATTTTTAACTTAAGCTTAAACTAAATAAAACTTTATTTTTATATAAGTTAAATAAATAAACTTATATAACTTTTAATATATTTAATTTTATTATAAATATATAATAATAAAGTTATATTATATTAACTATAAATAATTATTATATTAATTAATATTAAACTTTTTATAAGTTATTTTATTGTTTTATTAATTTTTATAATATATTTATTATTTATAATATATATTATTTAATGTTTATTTAATATATAAAGTATAAAAAATATATTTAAAAATATTTATATATTTATATATATAAACAAGTATATTTTTTATGCTTTATATATTATTTAAACATAAAATAACATATATTAAAAACAGTTAATATATTATAAATATTAATAAAAAAAATAAAACAATAATAAAAATCATTATTAAGATTAAAATAAACAATAAATATTATTATACTTAAAAAAGTTAGTTTTAATTAATGTAATAATTATTTATAGTTAATATAATATAGCTTTAATAATAAATAAAAAATGCTTGTTTTTATTTTAAAATAAATTTAAATAAAAGTTTTAAAGACTTTTTAAAAAGTTGTTTTATAAATAAAATAATTAAAGTTAAATATATATATAAAAACATAAAACGCTTATAAAAAAAAGTAAAATATATATATATTAAAAAAAACAATTATAAGTAATTTAAAAGCTATATTATGCTTGGTAAAACTAATAACGTTATACCTTAGCCATTAAAATAAATGCCTTTTTATGTGGTGGTATAAGTGCGCAACACTAACTGTTAGTAGGTGTACGTACGTATGTAAACAAATCAAAAACAAACAGATAAAACAGGTGTGGCGAGACTGGTGGTATTATTGTGTCTGGCTAAAAACTATCTATTGGTGCGGAAACGGAAACTTGCAGACTATTTATGCTGGCGGCGATCATGGCGGAATGTGGCGGAACGTGGCGGAAGGTCGCGGAAGGTATTCCGCTGCCTTGCGTTCCACTACCTTGCGTTCCATGCAACCATCACTAACACTTATCTCTTGCTCTCTTGTGTAGGTATTTACTTCGGTCGGGACCAGGGCAACACGCCGCGTTTTATGATCGGCTGGTCTGTCGGGCACAGGAATAGTTGTAGCAGGCGCAGGCGTAGCCGTTGGGGCGGTCACCGGAGCAACAGAACCATAAACAGGTATAAAAAGACTCTTAGAACGTGCGTTTTTAGGAATAGGGTTGGTTAAGTAGGACTAGTACATCTAGCTTCGCTAACAGAGCTAGCTACAGGCGTGCTTTAAAATATTTTTATGCTTACAAGTTCTAATACTAAAACTATCGTATAGCTTTAATTCGTCGGGATATATAAGGATTATATAGTTATCGGCTCCTTGCTCGAGCAAACACGCCTCGAGCTAATCGGAAGGTGGGAGTTCTAGGGATAGAATCCCAATCCAAGCTCGATCTAGAGAGCAGAGTTCTAGTACCACTCTATCCACGTCCCAACCGAAAGGGTCGTCCATCCTGTGAGGTTTTCACGCCAGGGCGCATTCGAGGTTCACGGCCGATCAGTTAGATCAATATGGACAAAAGTATTCAGTACGACGTATTCTGGAGATGTGGACAAATCGGAGAAAAGATTGGTAGATGGCAAGGGCAAGAGAGACAGCATGAGCTGATGACCAACTAGATAAGATGCTTCTGAGATTGCCCAGTATGGGAGGGAAGGAGGGGCATGGTATGAACGCGGCCGTAGAGTCTAGAGATCGATACGTTGATGTTTTAGCGGGGTAACGTATGCGAGTAGGATCTAGGACAGGGTAGGATCTGGGACAGAACCGCTATATTTTGATGTTCAGTTACTGGCTAGCCTAATTTAGATTAGCGTATCCTGCTCGAGATACAGGGGGCCTGTCCCAGATCCTACCTACTCACGTACGTTACTCGAGAGGCTGTCGCGCGTGCAAGGTAACCCGCAAAGAGTGGCAACCTAGGTATCTCGCTGGGAAGGCGATTGCCTTGTAGTATATAGTTGGAACAGGCCGGGGCAGCCATGGTTGGTGTATGTAATACTATTTTTAGGAGGCGCCAGGCAATTTGAAAGTACTTCAATGGGTCGATGCACGTGGGCGTTCGTAGGGCTACTGTAAATCGCTTCTATGCATGCGACTTCCTACCTAGGAAGTTGCTTGGTCAATCAAGGCGCGAATAAAAATTGCATGCATGCTGCAAGTGCTGTAGAAGGTGTGGCGGCTAAGACGGCCGCTAGAGCGCTGCAGCCACAAGCAGCACCTCAGTCCCTAGGTATCCCGCGACTGACCTGCGACCTAATCACAACCGGCCCCTTGCCCGGTATTTGTATCTTTGGTAACACGTTTTCAAGGTAGTTCAAGTCTAGTTAAGTATTAGCTATATTCTATTAGTTTGTTGTAGTATTTCTAGTCGCGTTTAGACATAACGAGATGTACTAGTTTCCCTAAGAGCTAGTAAAGTCGTCAACGGTAAGGTGCAATCAAAAGCCATCGTCCTAAAAGGTGGTAGCGGCTTTGCCATCGTTTGCGTTGTGAAAGCAGATATAGCTGATGTCTGCTTTCAACGCTTTACGAGAACCGTATCCCACGTTTGGGCTTTCGCCCACGCTGCCCTCCACACTATGATCTAGCCTTTCCACGCTGCTCGGGCTGTTACGCACACAGCTCTAGTCGTCTAGTCAGTAGTAGAACAATGTATTATTAGGTCTAGAGCCCTGGACTATACCTTTAAACTTGAATCGATGCTGGTTTTCTCTCTTATTCCCTCATCGCCCAAAGCTTTAAGTTAGCCATCTTGTATTAGGATATAATAAGTAAATCTTAAACTAAACAACAAATTATTTTTTTTTTTCCTTTAAGTAGTTATAGTAAATAATATACTGTTTTTTTAAAATATTTTAAAATATTCTTAGTATAAATATAAAAACATAGTTTTAATTTTATTTATAAAAATTAATAATTTTTTATTAATGTTTTTTTAAGTTTATATATAATGTTTTTATTATTACGTTAATTAATATATTATTTAATACATAGTAAAAACGTATTAAATATATATTTAAATAATTAAAATAAAGCCGAGCTATATTTTGTAAGCTAAAGTTTAATAATAATATATTATACAGCTTATTTCGCTGTTTTAAAAGAATAAGATAGCCCGAAATATAAGATCGACGGTATGTTTTAGAGTATATTATCCATAGCTTTTTCTTTTTCTTCTAGAACAGAGAACCCTGCTGAATCTGTTCTTCTGCAAAAAACTATAGACAGGCCAAGCATATCAAGAAAGCCCCCGGTAACCCAGTCACGCACCTCTTTAAAGATTCCAACCCGTCACAGCACAATCATACCGAAATTTCAATCCACGGCGACTGGCTGCGACCAGCCCATCGGGCTAATGATGGAGCAGTCCGCCACCGAATTTGCCAGATCTTGTCTAGAGATCGAACAATTGCAGTTTCCCACGGATTCGGTAGAGACATATTGTATGTAGCAAGGGCTCTAATTAAGGGCTTGGAAGGTTGTTCAATTTAGCTAATAATCTTCTATGGGGCTAAGGGGTGCTTGAAGGTCTGGTCCCTTCCTTCCCCTCGAGGCGGGAGATTCTAGTCTCTATATACCCGAATAGCTTCAATTCCAACTACCCTTACCTTCGCAGACTCCTTCCCTCGCAATCTCTTGCCCTCCGGTCTGCTGCAGAGATGTCCCTAGAGATCATGAACTTCTCGGGTAGGTATCGGGTCCTTCGCGGGTAGCGGAATAGCTGAACGGGTAGTTGAATCTTGGGTCTCGCGTAGGGACAGATCCGCAGTCAGATTAGCGAGCCAGTTCCTCGGGTGCGTGTAACACATATTAATTACCTCGGTAGTTGCGATTACCTGAAGGCGCAGTCAAGGGCAGAGACAATGGATCCTAAGAAAAGGTACGGAAAAAAAAAGGAACACCAATGAAAAGAATTACCAAAAGTTTCCATATAGAAGAAAAAAGAATGGACTACTTACTGCGGGATTCGAACCCGCGCGTCTTTCAACAACACGTCACTCACCCCCCAACACATGGGCTCTCGTTAGCGTGGCCCCTTAACCACTCGGGCAAGTAGGTTGGTACTTTGATTGATGTGAGATCCTATTTGAATTAGTTCATATAGCTGGGAGATAGATAGTGGTGTATTAGGGAAGGTGTATACGTGAGAGGAAAGAGCGCGGTGGTTGGAGGGAGGAGCGCGGTGGTTGGAGGGAGGAGCGCGGTGGTTGGAGGGAGGAGCGCGGTGGTTGGAGAGAGGAGCGCGGTGATTAAAGGGAGGAGCGTAGGTGTGGTAAGGGAAGGAAGAGGGATAAATGTATGGCGTAACGTAAAAAAGGCAAAGACAAATAAAAAGTTACTAAACAAGCCTTCTAGTTCTTAAAAAAACAAGGTAAAATAATCTTAAACTAAAACTTATGTAATATTACCCTTATAAACAACCTAGTAAAAGTAAATAAATATTTCTTTTATTTTATATAAAGTTTATTTACTTAATATATTTAAATAATTAAATAAGTATTTATTTAAGTATATATATATTTTTATTTTAAAATAACTCACGTAATAAATAATATATAAAAAGTTATTATTAAATGTTAAAGATTAAATATAATAATAATGTTATTAAATAGCTAAAAGGTATAAATTTATACGTAAATAAATAAATAAAATAAATAGCTTTATATATCGATCTAAGGTTTAAGTTTAATATAAAAAGCTCTTGTACGAAGAATTCTTTTTTAATCAAGGAATTCTACGTACGTACACCGCCTACCTAGTTAATCTATATATAAGCTAAACCCATTGTACAGATAGCCCCGTACGTAGTTAATTGCCAATATTACAACAAGTGCTGTATAAGGGACAGAGTCAACAATGCAGTAGGAGTAACTATTCGATTAGCATATCCTCCATAATGCTAATAAAATCTAGTCCTAAGCCTTCTTTTTGCACTTTTTCCGTGTTTGCCCTGTCTCTCCCCCGTGTCGACACGATGCCGTTTCTATCAACAGGCTTGTTAATACGTTGGAACACTTTTAGTTGACGTCCACATCGAAGAGGCCTCCGGTTATTTTCCTTTACGAAAATAGCCAATTCATCTACATTGCTAAAACTGACGTAGAAGTAAAGTCGGCAACAGTTCATGGGATGTCCATCGGTATGCCTTCCATGTTGACCGATCGCTTTGATGGGATATTGAGCAAAAAACTGTTCCAACCTCAGTGGGGTGCGGATCTCATGCCCAGGGCAATTGCCATCCTGCATTTGAACAACCGCCCTGTTTCATTGCAGCAGGTTAGAGAACGCCCTTCAAAAGAGTATGGATGTGGATTGGATATTGTATGAAGAATCTGGCCCAGAAACTTAATATTGCTGTGAATAGAGAGATCTGCACTTACGTAAAGGGGTGGTTCCTAAAAATGAATGTATTCGTTTTGAACAGTGGTCCCTTTCGGGGGCGAAATTGCGGTTGCGGCCGCTCGTGCTGTAGCCGTTCGAGTTCCATTGGGAAGCCGGAAGCAGGTGTATTGACAAGACACGCCAATAGGGCTAAAATCCGAACCGCGTCGTTTGCTGCACAATGGTTCAATTTTGTAGATTGGTACCCTTTTTCAAACCCATACCCTGCCATCGCAACTGTCATTGCCGGCAAATTATGATGATGGTCGGTCCGAGTTCCAGCTAACCAGTCTACCTCCCATACAATAGGTTGAATATCGACCCAGGCTGATATATACGGGATAACAGCAGGGACCTGGTGAAAGAGGAACTTGAATTCTGCGCCCATGGCGAAGCCAATCAAGGTGATGTGTTCAACACCAGAGACAGATCTTATGTGTTCTAGAAATTCGATAATTTTGGCTTCGGCTAAATCAGCATCGATTTCTTGTACAATCGGTTCTTCGAAACGCCATTTGAAATTCTCTCTGTCCCGAGCCGGCTCCTTTCGTCCCAGGGACGGCGTTTTCAGACAACGAACATCAACGGCGTGGGTTGCAGCAAATTTCATGATTTCAACGGGTCTCTCATGGCCTGTAGAAGGCAAATATGCCAAGCCGATCTCGCTAATGCGGCCATCTTGATGAAGTTCGATATCGAAGGACACCAAGGCGGTTGTCGATTTCAAGTGGTGCTTAAGTGCTGCGAAGTCGCCGATCCTTCTCGCCCACAATGACCTGTACCTTCTTGTGATAGCCCAGTCAGGGATTCTTATGGATAAGGGCGAAACCCCAACGGTTTCACGACGTGCGCGTCTTGGTGATTTTGGCTGTATCGTCGCCATTGTATGCAAAACGAATTATGTTATGTTGTTATTGTAGGCAGGAATGAAAGATGAGCGCAGATAAGCAGGTTCCTAAAAGTAGTGCCTCCCACAGGTAAAACAAAACAGATAATTCGGGGTTTCTTGTTTTGACTTGTTTGGCACCCAAAAACGCTTATTAAACTGGTTTGGCTGAAACTCTTCTTTGATTTAGTTCAAATATTTAGCCAGATAAATTGAGTGGGTGACTAATTAGGGTTTGAACTCTAACGCTATTATCGCTGCTTAGAAAGCGTCAGGGTCGCTGCGTAGCCAGTGCTGGAGGCACTGAATAGCCTCCAATTGTTTATTTTGATGCTTTTCGTAGAGCGTACGGTGTTGTTGATGATCAAAGGGTCGAAGGTTGTTGAGATGCCTAGCTAAAAAAGAAGGTGGAAACGCGTGTTAAAGAGAGGATGTCGATGATGCTGGACTAGCAAGGCGGAGGATTCCTTGTAAAGAACAGAAAAATTGTAAATGAAGCCAAGAGAAAAGCAAGGTGATGATAATAATCGGTAGCTATCAGGTTATAGCGTGATGTCGCGGTCGGAGGTCCCGAGGTAAAATTCGAGCCGTAGGTCCGTACAGCCTTCCAGAGCCTTGTAGTTGCTCCTGTTCGGACGTCCTCCAGGTTCTCCATTGTTAGCGCGTGAATTTACCCTTGTTTTCCCCATAAATATGCTCGATTGAGCAACGATAAGGTTACAGCAAGCACCCTGGGAAGCCTACATGGGCTCCCGGACGGCCGGCTTAAGCTTTTCTTTGTTTTTTTGGTAGTATAGAAACCCTTGATGATTTCTAGCGAGTGAATAGGAAGCAATTTTATCAGTACGCATATGTACAGTACCTAATAATAATATTCAATGAGGCAGGCAGAGTGCGGGGGCGGGGTTACTTTGTTCATTGTCAAGTACCTACCTCAAAGCATGAGGTGTACTCTGTAGTGGTTCCCGGTGTACCGCATAGGTAACTGATCACAGCCTGAGCCGAGCCTGAGCAAAAGCGGCAAATGCGCTAAGCCTAACTTGTCGCGCGCTAGGAAATTGGTAAAACCTGGAACCTGCCTCGGAGGTGTTAACATGCCTTATATGTAGAGTGGGAAGTGCTTCTTATGTAATCCCTTGCTAACCGAGATTCACCTAGGTAGGTATTGTGGATACCTACATGTATGTCAAGCCTACCTAGGTACCTAGGGAGGTAGCTAAGCTAGCTATTGACCCAGGACACAAGATGGCGCTGAATTTGCTAAATAGGGAACAACACGCTGTACAATAGGATAATGTTTGTGGCCAAACTACATAGGTAGGTATGTTTTGCGTTGCATGTCACTATGTATCATGCGGCATTCTAAGAAATACCGGGTTGCCACGCTCTTGGAAGCACTAGGGTGCCCCTATACATAGGTACCTGGTAGGTACATGTAGGTAGGTGCTTAATGCACCTGCTGTAGTGTAGTAGTAAGTTCCCCATGTCCCTTCTAATTAGCGCAAAAGAGGAAAGATGCCGAGGCACAAACAGCCCGCGGCGTTGCTCTGCCGCCAACGAGCTGATTTGAACGGGACCATCCCATCTCCATGCTGCTTGCAAACAGAACATGGTTTACCGAGGGGGTGAGTTGAGTAACACCGCCGACATCCATCGTGTAGTGTAATCCAATCCCTTTACTGTCCGAGATAATACTTCAAACAGCTTCCTAAGGGCGAACTCTATTCTACTCTTTGCTTACCACATTGCATGCCGGTTTCTGGACTCATCGCACTCACCAGCCTCTCACAAAAGCGCATCTCTGAATATATACGTCTTACGCCCGTTGACTATAAGTCTTCGGGAAGCGGATGCATTGGCAACGCCACTCAGACGTCGTCTTCTTCACAAAACCCAACGTAGAGAGACTAATTGCACACCCCAAATCACACAATGCCTTGTAAGTTAGTCTAATGCAAGAACCACTGACTATGCACTTCGCCTTCTCAGGGCATGTAAACTAATCTCGACTTGCTACATGATAGTCCCTCTGGCTTTGACGGTACCAGCTGCTGCCGCTGGCCTGGCGTACCTTAACGCAAAGACTTCATTCTCCTATGATGCCGCCAGTATTAGGGGCATAGCACGGGCAGCCTGGCGACACAAGAGGCGCGAGGGCGCAGAGCGCCTCAACACCTTCTATCGCCTTGAAGAAATCGGTACTAGCAAGTCAGCGGACCGTGTGGGCATTCTGTTCGAGGACCGGTCATGGACATATGGTCAGATGTACGAGGCCGCTCTTAAGTACGGCAACTATCTCAAGTCCAAATTCGATCTCAAGCCCCAAGACATTGTCGCGATGGACCTCATGAATTCCGATCATTTCCTTTTGATTTGCTTCGGCCTCTGGTCCATCGGGGTGCGGCCTGCCTTTATCAACTACAACCTAACCAGCGACCCGTTATGCCACTGCGTAAAGACGGCAAATGCCGTACTCCTGCTTGTCGATCCAGATGTCCAACACAACATAGACGAGGCCGTCCGGGAGAAGCTTGGGGACTTGAGAATCGAGTTCTTGACCGAAGAATTCATCTCGGCAGCCATGGCCGTGGATCCCGTGCGCCCACCAAACGAGGTTCGCGCCGGTATTGTAGGCCGCGACATGGCGGGCCTCATCTTTACCTCGGGCACGACGGGTCTCCCCAAGGCAGCTATCATATCTTGGACAAAACTAATCTCGGGCCCAAACTTTGTTGGAGGGTGGCTCGGCACCAAATCGTCTGACGTACTATACACGGTACATGCAATCCAT